TCTGCCTCTCAAATAAATAATTAAAAAAAAAAAATGAAGTGGGAGGAGGGTGCTGTTTAGATAAACTCATCAGAATTGGCTTAATAATTTGGAGGTTTCACCATGGAGCAGCCACAGCTGACTAGGGCCTGGGGAGGTAGTGACAGGGAGCAGGTGAATCAGCAGATAGAAAATATGGGTGTGGTGTGTGTGGGTGGGGTGTGTGTGCTCAGGGAAAGTGAAGATTCAAGGAAGAAGAGTGCTGAGCAGAAATGGAAATGTTGTTTGGCCCTGTTGTTTTTTCCAGTTCTGAGCAGGTTTCTTATTTAATTTTCTTTATGTCACCATAGAGCATCTTTAGCCAATTCTTGGGTAGATAAAGGGATGGGAAAGGGACATTTAACCCTTTCATGGAAATTAAACGTAAGCTGTCCCTGCTCTGCAACTGGTGAATTGCAGACAAAGGCACCCTAAAATAGTACTTAGCTCTCCAGCCTGTGTGGGTGTTCTCTATTTCAACCCAACTAAAGTGGGACTTGGGTAATTGTAGAGGAGAGAAAATGAGTATTTTCTAAAACAAGTCGAATATTCTCCATTATGGAAAGGGACAAAATTGTTTTCCATAAAGAAAATGACACCTGTGTGTCATAGATCTGGCTTCGTTCTGAGCCAGTCAAGCGAGTGGGAGCAGCAGAGGTAGTCATAGTGCTGTGGGGAATCCTCCAGCCCTCAGTGGACTTTCTGGAAGATTCTAGACATCCATCACTGGATGCTTTGGATGCAGACGTGGAGAAGTGCCAGCAGCCAGACCTGAGTGACTGACTGGCAGCTTCACAGGGAGTGGGCGTCCTGGGAAATAATGGCGAGGCTGAGGTAGGAATTAGGACCCCTAAGGTTTAGTATCCTCCTCCATGCGGAGGGACAAGCATGCTCCTGCATTGAAAGGTCAGAGGTCAGGCATGATCTAGTCGTGTAGTGTTGGCTTTGTCCCTCTGCCAGGATTCCAATGTATTTCCCACATTGCCTTTCATTAGTGTTTGCTTATTTGCTGGTTCTAGATTGGAAGCCACACAGGGGTAAGACTGATGTCAATCTTGCACCACAGAGTCTAGCACAGCTCTTTGTGCACTGGAATCTACCTGTGCATGGGAGCGATGTGGGTGCATCACATCCCCATGGGGAACGTGAACCTTGTGTGTGAGCCTTCTCGACGTGGCTCCGTGGGACTTGGTCCTGAAGGCAGTGGCTGCACGTCTCCTGCCATCCACTGGGAGGATTGCTCATGGCTAAGTGTTCCCCACCCGATCCTGGCTTCTTTGGGCATCAGATGTGTCCCTGTATGGGGTGTCCAAGGCCCCAGCCCCTGTTCAGGAGGATTTAGAAGCGTTCTGTGCTGCCGAATGCCAGGTTGTAGTTAAGTGGTGGGTGAACGTGGGTGGAGAGGGATCTGGTGGAAGACAGTAGTTTCTTCCATTCAGCCTTCTTTTCCATTTATAGCGCTGCGTACACAGTGTGTTGAAGGGCTAATGCTACTGGTTCTGTGGGAACTTACATGCCACCTTGAACTTTGCGGAGAGTGTAGCACATATGAGTTTGAGACACTGCTAGTTTCACAATTTTAAAAAAGAGGATGAAAGGTAAAATTAAGAAAAGAACAGCATCCTTTTTTTAAAAAAAAATTAGCTTTCATTCTTTTTGAAATAGTTGTAGTAAATTATATTTTAAAGTTATACTTTTGACCATTTTTTAAAAAGATTTTATTTATTTGAAAGTCAGAGTTAGAGAGAGAGAGAGGTCTTCCATCCACTGGTTCACTCCCCAGATGGCCACAACAGCCGGAGCTGCGCCGAATAGGAGCCACAAGCCAGGAGCATCTTCTGGGTCTTCCACGTGGGCACAGGGGTCCAAGGACTTGAGCCATCTTCTACTGCTTTCCCAGGCCATAGCAGAGAGCTGGACTGGAAGTGGAGTAGCCGGGACTAGAACCGGTGCCTATGTGGGATGCCAGCGCTGCAGGCGGTGGCTTTATCTGTTTTGCTACAGCGCCGGAGCCATTCTTGACCATTTTTAAGTGTGCATTTAGTGGCACTAAGTACCTCCTCACATTGTGCAAACACCACCACTGTCCATTTCCTGAACATTTTCGTCTCCCCAACCTGAAACTGATAGTACCCATTAAACAGTAACTCCCAGCTTCACTCTGTTCCCCTGCCAGTTCTTGGCAGCTGCAAGTCTGCTTCGTGTTCTTAGGAATTTTTTTACACTCCAAACACCTTATGTAAGTGGAATTTCATGGTGTTTGTCTTTTTTTGTGGCAGGCTTATTTCAATGAGGTGTAATATCCCCAAAGTATCTCCTGTGGTAGAGTTTTTGGTGTATGTATATACTACATTTTATTCATGCATCCTATCAATGGATGCTTGAGTTGCTTCCATCTTATGTTAATGTCTAGGGCTGTCCTAACAAATACCATAGACTGGGTGACTTATACAACAGAAATGTATTGTTTCACAGTTCTGGAGCCTGGAAGTCCAAGATCAAAGTCTCAGCAGGATTGGTTTCTCCTGAGGCCTCTCTCCTTGGCTTACGGGGTTTGCCCATGGCCTTACCTCTGTGCACACTTTCCGATGTCTCTTCCTTTTCTTATAGAAGACACCAGTCCTATCAGATTAGGGCCACACCTTCATGACCTCTTTGATAGCTCATTTAAAGGCCTTGCCTTCAACTACAGTCACATTGAGGGTGAGGCCTTCATCTATGAATCTCAGAGAGACTTAAGTCCAGAATACATATCTTGGCTATTGGAGTAATATTTTGCACACAAGTATACAAATACCTATTTTGGGTATACGTGAAACAGTAGGATTTTTGGATTATATGATTCTACTTGGAACTTTGTGAGAATCTGCCATATTGTTTTCCATAGTGGCTGCACCATTTAAATTGCCATAGCATTATTTCTTTATTGTCAGAATAGATCCCTCTTTTTTGAGAGATCACTGTGACTTCCAAGGTCCTCCAGTAGGAAGCTTGCCTGAAATTGTTTTTGTTGTTGTTTTTACATGCCAGCTACTTGGTTACTAAATACTAAATCCCTCCAGAAATCGGTGCACTTGCTCCTGATGTATCCCCTGTCAACAACTTTGGGAATCTTACTGAGCTGTTGGGAAAACATCTCAGGAAGGAGGAAGAAGTCATGAAAAGTGGTCCGGGTTCTGACAGGTGCTAAATGTAAGCTGTGAACTCTCAGGTAGCAGCTCCTGGGCACTGAGTTGGTGTCATATCTGGCCCTGTCACTGAGAATGGTGGAGGAGGGACCCTGAGCCTTCCCACCTGGGAGTTCACATTGTGTGGCTGGGATGTGAGATGCTGGGGTAAGTGTGTGATGTAAGATGTGAGAGTATACAGTAGAGGGGTGTGTGTTTGTGTGTGTGTAACGGGGTGTACAGGTATGGGGCTTGATACGTGGGTATGTGCATGATGAGGTGGGGTGTGTGTGGGTAGGGTTGTGTATATAGAGTAGGCTGTGAGGTTTGGGAGAGTGCGTATGAAGTGAGGAGGTGGCGTGATTGTAGGGGCAGTCAGGGATGGAAATTTATTTGTTAAAATATCCAGAGATTACCAGCCAGGGGGTGGGCCTTTTTTTTAAGGTGGGTGTTTATCTGTGGAATATGTAGGGGAGGGGGGTTGAGTGAATATTATTTACAGAGGAAATGAAGGGTAAATATGAGCACATGGGTGTGTATGGAGTAGAGGCGGGGGCATTTTGGGGATCAGGGTATGTGTGCAGAGTAGAGGATAAGGGTGTGGGGGGTTGGGTATGGTAGTGTGTGTATGTCAGTACATGTACATCAGGGTACCGGGTGAGGGGTAGGAGGTGAGTGTGGCTATGAGGAAGGAGGATGGAGTGGGGGCATTGAGGGTATGTGAAGAATAGGATATGTGGAGGGGTGTGTGTGTGTGTGTGTGTGTGTGATGTGTGTGTGATGTGTGTGTGGTTGTTGCTGTCATAGGATTATAATAGAAAAAAGACTAGTGGCTGCTCTTGCCAGGACCAGGCAGGCAGAAGAACTGCTAAGACCTTTAGAGCCTCCCCCCCCCATCCCGCCGTGTCCTCCCCCTGCCAGGGACTGGTGCGTGACTCACTTTCATCTGGTGGTGGGAATTGATTTGCTGGGCCTCTGCATCATGGCAGGGTATGTGCGTCAGACTGTATGAGTTTGCTCTGATTAAGAACCACAGGAGAAATTTAAAGTGAAAAGTGGAGTGGGCAGAGGGTTCTGCTGGGCGTTATGAAAGAGAAATGGCTTCTGAGTGGCTGGGTTATGCCGAGTGAGCGAGGTTGTCTCCCGGGACCCTGTTCCTTATAGAAGGCGACCTGAGCCTTCCCCTGTGAGAGGAGTAACTTTGGAACACACGCACATGCACGCATACACACACAGCAGCGCACGTGGCAGGGGAGGCCAGAAGCCCCTCCCAGGTGATGCCAGCCAGACTCTGCAGCAGCAACTCTGTGCACTGCGGTTTGCTGCAGTCTTCGCACTGGAGGGACGATGGTTTTTATGAATGGGAGGCTGGGAGGCACAGAGTGTCATCTGCTCCTGATGTTAGCAAAATGAATGAAACACTGGCAATGCGTGCGAAGCCTCAACGCTCAGGAAGCAGATACCGTCTCAGATTGGTTCTCCAGATGCGGCGTCTCTTGCTGACGAAATCACCAGCCCCATGTGTCATAGATAATCTGTGTATGTTAGGATTTAAATGAGGCAGAAGCCAAGGCTGCCTGTGGCATAATGCGAATGTGATTCGGGCACAGCCAGCTCTTTTCCCGAAGCAGCTGTGGCTGTGACCCTCTTGCTGCCCGGTGCTGGAGCACGGCGCCTGGGGGGAGGCTGCAGACCCACGGCTGTGTGTTAGGCGTCTACCTAGCCAGCCTGATGTTCTGCATTTGCTGGCAGAATTCATTGTTGAAGCTCCAAGCCCTCGAATCTGATCTGTGCTCTGCATTTTTGGCAAACCAGGAAGAAGCTGCCCAGGTGCATGGAGTCAAGGACCCAGCCCCAGCACCGACCCAGAGTGTGCCTGCTGATGGGGTGGATTCTGCAGGTAAGAGGCAGGGCTGGGGGGATGTCCCATATGGTACCCTCCAGGCACCAGCTTCCTGCTGCTTCACGCTCAGCTTGGCCACTGAGGGAAAGGGTGTCTGGGGTAACACGAAAGCCACCGAGGTGCTTCTGGGTTTCCCACGGGACAGTGGAGAGGGAGGGATCAGGAGAAATTGGGACTTGCTGTAGCACAGACTTGCTCTTCAGCTGGGGCCAAGAGTCAGACTTCTCTAATTGGGAGTCAGGTGAAAACACCCATCACAACTTCTAATCTTCGTTTTCCTGTTTGGTCTGCTGGGACATTTGAATCCTGTGCTTGTTTTTGTTCTTTTTTTTTTTTTTTTTTTTTTTTTTAATCACTGGACATAGATAACCTGTGTTGTCTTTGATGCAACATTCTGGGGTATTGAGGGATTGGAGGAGTTTTGACACTGCTACTTAAGTTACTGTCTGTAAAATGATCCATCAGTACAGGGAGCGTGGAGCTGAATGCTCCACCGAGAGTTCATTTTGATCTTACATTGTCCTGTTCTTTCATTTTGGTTTTGTCGCTTACTTTCCATGTCATAAAGCCTGGGTCTCAGGGTTTTTTTTTTTTTTTTTCTGTTATTTTTTCTGGTCTTAATACTGGGAATGACAGATTGACTAGCAAAGACAGGGCAAATTAATGCTCCCAAGAAGACAGGAAAGAAACACTACTTTATGTGAGTAGCAAAGAAAGCGCTACTTGTGATTTCTAACACAAATGGGTCAGAGGTTTGCAGTCTGGTTTCTGGATGGATGGCAGAAATGGACTGCGGTTAGCTGGCCTCACGAGAGGCTGCTAATCTCCAGGAATTGAAAAGGAAAAGATTTACGAAGGCTGTCTATGTCAGCACATGATCAATAGTACATTCAAGACACTGCTGTTTCAAACAGACCCTTGTGATCCAAGTAGGCAAAATGGTCCTCTCCTATCTTGGAATGTACAAATGATAGTGGTTAATAATAACTACTAAGAGTGGCTCCTATAATTATTTAAAACTTCTCATGATCCAGTTGAGCATTTTATGTACTGTAGTCATTCTTTAAACTTAGCTGTGAATAGTATTTGTAGTAAGGACACTGAGGCCTAGTATAACTTTGCTGGTTCGGGGTTAATCAGTTCCTTTTGGATGTAGTTGACCAGTTGGCTGTCCTTGTCACCTCGTGTGAGTTCCTGCTCTGTTGGTCATTGTGTTTAGAAGAAATGCAAGGAAAATGAGTCAGGAGCCAATGTGCATCCAAATAGGGATTTAAGTCACATGATTAGACAAACTGCTTTTTCCTCCCCCAATTCCATATTCCACCCCCTGCAAGCAGAATACACAGCACATAAGTCTCAAGCCAAATACAAATTCACTTTTCTGTTATCTGATGTTTAGAATGAGCTATACAAGTATCTAGAAAACAGTGTTCAATAAAATATTTGTTGCATGTTGTATATAGAAAAATATTTACTTCTGGTACCATGACTTTTATTTATATGCCTCCAGTTTTCTTCAAAGATTAAGAATAGCTTTTAGATTTTCTCTCTCTGGATGGAAGGGTTTTGAACAAGTTTATTAACACTCCTTGTAAAATGGAAATGAATGTTGGGTACGTACAGGGATTTCTAACACAAAGGAGATAGCAACACACTCCATATTGTGTCAGATAGTAAACATGGACAGAAAAGCTCCTTTCACATGGGTGAGATGCTGGACTTTAGAAAAGGTAGATAAATCTGAGCTATCCTAGAGCCTTGGCAACAGAATCTAGAAACATCTAGAAACATAGATGTTTGCAGGGATCTAAATAGTCTCTAGGGATCTACATAGAGATACTACAAAGTGGCAGATGCTTATAAGATGTTTTCATTATTTAAATTACTAGATAGTTCAGTCTCACTGACTTCTAAAACACTCTTAGGGGAAAACCATGCATTTTCTAACCCAAGTCAAAGAAATTTATGTTCAGAGCTGCTGTCCTTAACTTAGGGCCTCAGTGGATTTTCTGAATTACCTTTGAACACTTTGATAGTATAGTTTTTTGATGTATAAATCCCTGGTGAGAGAGTGATTACATAGGACTAGCACCAATGACAATAAGTCCATAAAAGTTTAGAGTAGCTTGGAAATAATTTTCTGTTTCTCAAAGCCTACCCCTTAGCCCTGAGCTTCATATGTATAGACATATTCCAATAGTGATTGTTGATGTCAGTGACTGGTAGGAGTGGTTATGTGAAATTATAGGCTAAGCAAGGTATATAGTAGTCTATCTTGAGATAAGCATATTGGCCTTTGTGGGTTGCAAAGATCAGTCCCATCTAGTAAGATACTTGAAATGTTGCCCTCTGCTAGAAATGCAATTGTAATCATGGTACTCCTGTAGGATATTGTGTTATAGATAGCGTTTCAGAAGCTTCTTACACATCACAATTATCAGATAGCTTTTCTGATTTTTGGGCCACCTCTAGAAAGCTTGGGGTGGACTAGATGGTCTGCATAGTTGTGGGAACAAGTGGACTAATGGACAGTGTCTTGAATTAGGAGAGAAAATAAGGTTGTCTTTGACTGTGTTCTATCTCAATGTGTTCAGTAGGAAGATGCTCACAGATCATATGGGACTGACAACTCAGGGTCTGTGGCAAGCTGACTCTACTCCTTTACTCCAGGAGGGAAAGGTGCTCAAGTCGTGGGGACTTGCAGAAGGGATAGGGACACAGATTTGAGGGATGTGTAGGAGGCTTTAGAGAAAAGTTAAACCAGCTACAAAGCAATTTGGGGATACACAGAGGATAACCAACTGTCCTGGTTTGCCTAGCACTTTCCTGTTGTTAGTACTAATAGTCACATGTGCTGAGAAATCCTTGGTCCCAGGTGAACTAAGACAACTGATCACTGTAGGTTTCAAACCACATAATGTGAGATGGACGCTGTTACACGGTTGAACCCTGGTATACTCCACAAAATCATGATGTTGACATTTAACCCCAAATGTGATGACATTTGGAGGTGGTGGGACATTGGGGAGGTCATTAGGTCTCAAGGGTAGTGTCCTCATGAATGGCAGGGTGCCCTTGTAAGAAGAGTTGAGAGATCTCGCTCACTCATTTAACGACTAGTGAGGATATGGCAAGAAGTCTGTTGTCTGCAACCAGGAGAGAGCCCTCACCTGAACCTGACCATGCTGGCAGTCTGATCTCAGATTCCCACTTTCCAACACCGTGATATAAATTTCTGTTGTTTCTATGTCCCCCAGTGTATGATACTATGTTAAAGCAGCCCAAACTGACTAAATGCACATGACAGGGCGGCCCAAATCCCTCTAACTATATTACAGCCTCTTAGGGCTGGAGCACATGTTTCCTCCATAGCATTGTAAACATGTATTCTGGTTTGGTCGATGGAAAATGGAATGTGTACTTTCAACTGCCTGTCATTTTTGAAGTGTGCAGGACTGTTAGACATTCCCCATGACTAAGCAGAATAACCCTTGTTCTATCTGAGTGGGGATGATTGATGGTATGGAGGCTTTAGCAAGAATTGTCATCAGAGATAACTGGAGACCTACCACTAGAGATAACAGTTCAGGAGTGCTTACTGAAATTTTTTTTCTAAAATCTTCATTTTCAAATTGAAGTTTCCATTTGGATAAGACACTAATATACTGTATCTATTGACAGACTGCAATTATTCTTTAAAAAAAAAAAACCAGATTTATTTATTTGAAAGGCAGAGAGCTACAGAAAGAGAGATCAAGATTGAAAGTTCTCCTACCCATCGAGTCACTCCCCAACTGGCCACAATGGCAGGGCCTGTGCCAGGCCAAAGCCGGGAGCCTAGAACTCCATCCAAGCTCCGAAGTGGGTGGCAGGAGCCCATGTACTGGGACCATCTTCTGGTGCTTTTCCAGGAACATTAGCAAGGAGCTGGGTTGGAAATGGAGCAGCAGGGATTCAAGCCAGCACTCATAAAGGATGCCTGCAACTTAACCTGCTGTGCCGCAATGCAGGCCCTAGACTGCAATTATTCTTAAAGAATTCTAAGTAATCTGTGTGCCTCTTCATAATGTTGCATTGGAGGTGAGGCAGAGTCAAAGAGAACCTGACCCTTTCTCTCCTACTTTGGCCAGAAATTTCCAATTATTTGTGAGCACTTACTAAACTTACAGATCTGGGATGCCCACCTTAAAATGCCACATTAACATGGAGAACTGAGTCCTGAGAATCTCTGTGTTGGAAAAGCTGCCCTGGTGATTCTCCTATTTAGGGAGGCTCAGGAACAGTTGCTAGAACATGGTGCTACTCCGGAGGTGCAATGACGTGTTTGTGCTGCAAATGCAACTTGTCATTGGATTTCTAGAACTGTAAAGGATCTCCACTATCTTACTAGGTGGCTATTATCCATATAATTTGTTCATCCTACAGGGGCAGCCTGAGCTGTTACTGGCATCGAATGAGTACTGGCCAGGGATTCTGCTAAACACCCTACAATGTGCAGGATACCCAACAAAGAATTAATCTCCTCCAACAAAGAATCGGTCCCAAATGTGGATAGTGCTGAGGCTCAGAAACCCTGCTTCAGATGCTTTTAAATGAATAACATCATTACCTGACCACAACCTCTTCATTTGCACCAGACATGATTGCATGGATTCCCTTTTATAGCGTAGGTTTCATTATTATCCCCACATAAAGGATGAAGAAATCAACTTGGAAAGTGAATGTAAATTGCTGAAGGCCCCATAGGTATGGAGTGCAGTGGGAAGTGGTGGTGGTAGGCAAGAGGAGGACTGTGAGAGGGGTCTTCCTAACTTAAACTCTGTTGGCTGGAGCCTTGTCACTCTATTTGCTATCCAGCTTCAGTGTTGTCTCCATGTGACGTTCTAGGATTTGACATGAAGTGCACTGTACATAATTTCAGTGCTTGCAAAGTCATTTTGTGATCCATCCCTGACTTTGCTTTGTCAGATTGAAGGGACCTCAATTTGTAGTCAGTT